GGGGTGTGGTTTTCACCAGGAGGGCACTGCCTCCTCTAGGGGTGGTTAACATCCTGCCATGCCAGGCAAATACTTTGCCACCCAAACGCCATGGCTGAGGCCGCCTGCTGTCCTTGTTTACCTCTAAGTGTGCATGCCGGGTGAGGGTGGGGGTGCCCCTACTCTTTACCCTTTACCTCCATCCTTCCCAAGGTAGGGTTGTCCCCACCCCCAGGCTGTTGGGTACGAACATGCAGGTGCCCCTTGGTTTCCTGTGAGGAGCTGCCATCTCAGGGCCTTTGGGTCTGGTGACCCTGTGCAACCTCTGCTCACGCTGAGAACAGGCCTCGTCCCACTGTGCCTGACCGCGTGTGTGTGTGTGTGTGTGTGTGTGTGTATCCTTTGTGTGATTATGTATAACTATATACTCATTTACCATGTTTGTGTTTTTATGTGGATGCATTTTCTGTTTTATGTATGTAAATGTACGCATTTTCTGCAAACTTCCATGTTGTGTGTGTATGTTTTGTGTGCAGCGGGAATGAGTGCTGGCTCTGTGTGTGTTTGGCCATGTCGCCTCCTGCTCTGTCATGTCAGTGTGTTACAATTTATTTATTTATTTGACAGAAAGAGAGCAGCTTATCTCAAGGACTACAGGAGGCAAGCAAGGAAATAAAAAAAAAAAACACACAAAAAACCAGCCCTGTGTTGCTCTATTTTAAAAACTGCTCTGTGTTGTTATGGCAGCTAATTTTCCTTAAATGATTTAAGAAAACGGGTCTGTCTAAAAGAACTGCAGCCAAGTTGTTATAGCAACACAGGCTTTTCTCCTCTAGGAAAAGGGCGGACATCACCCCAGAGCATAGAAACCTCTCAAAAAAGCAACCCTTGGGCTCTGAGGGACTCAGGGAGCACAGGAAGGGCAGGAGGGGACCTGTTCACCTCCCGTGCTCAGTTCCTGGGGTTCTTCTTAGCAACAGCCTTGGCCACCCTCCAGTGCAGACCTCACTATCCCTCCCCTGGACTCCTGCAATAAGCACCTAGGGGGGCTCTCTTCCGATTCGCCTCAGCTCTTTGATCCCCTGTCCACACTGCAGCCCTAGTGGTTTTCTAAGCATATGCTCTGTAGGCATCTGTTCATTCGTCATCAGCTTAATATTCTTCTTGGTGGCATGTGCTGTGCTATGACCTGGGTGTGAATGGGGTGTGTCCTTGAATGGCAAGTCAGGAATGTTGTCCCACAAGTAATGGGGATCAATTGAAAGATTTTAAGCATGGGAGAGAGATTCAGTTGGATTTAAATTTTAGAATAACTCCAGAGTGTCTAGATTGGGGGAGTGAATGGATGGAAATGCTAGTCATTGATCTCTCCCTTGCTCCAACATCTTTGATGGCTCTCTGCTGACTACACTGATCCCAAGACTGAGAGAGGGTGTGTGCCACAATATTCCTCATAATTGGTGTTTTGTTCCATTGCCTTGATTTTTTTATAGTCATATTTAATTCAATTAAAACTCAATGTAAAGGAGAGCCCATGACATTGATTTTAATGAGAAGAGAGCATTGGGCCATGGAAGAAGCCAAATTCCTTGGCTCGGTATTTAAAGTCACCCATGAGCTTCTGCACACCTGCCCCTCGCCCTGCCCTCCCGAGGCTCCCTGCCATAAGCCCTGCACGCCAACCTCTGCCTGGCCAGCCCTTCCTGCCTGGGCATCCTTCATACATCAGTTCAGGTGGGGCCTCGTGGGTTGGGCTCCTTCTAAGGGTTCCCATAACCCTGTGCCTCCCTCCACAAATGCACCCAGAATAACTGTTAATTAATTCTTGTCTCTACCAGGCTGGAGCTCCTTAGGGGTGGACACCAGCTCTGATTGCTCCCAGCACCTAGCACAGGGCCTGAAGGTCAGTGAAAGGACAACCGTCACAGAGTCCCAGCCCATCAGTGAGGGTGCTGATTCTCTGCATGTTGATTCTGTGATCAGAAGGCCTCCGGGATGGAAGGGGTGAGGATGTGAGCATTTAGACACAAGGACAGAAGCTGTCCGGGCAGCTCGGATGGCACCGGATAGAGTGATTACGATCACTATGTGATAGTCCAGGCAGGGAGGAGAAATGCATTTAGAGCCCTTAGGGCAGACACCTCGGGTGTTGCAGTGTTTGCAACTGGACACACTGACTCTTAAGTCAAATGTGGATTTGGATCTCATCCAAATACTGTTTGCAGAGGATCTCCTACACATCAAGTACTATACTAGGAGCTTTCACACAGCTTTTAAGTAGAGAGACCCTAGTTTACCACCCAGACTGGGCCACTTCTAAGAGGAAAGGGGCCTGTATAAACAAAGACTCTAGGACAACAAGCATGAGCCAGAGATGCGCCAGGCAAGCTGAAACTTACTGCCATCCTACTTACGGGTCATACTTGGTGCTTTTCTGGGTAACCCAACACACTTTGTAAATCTATAGTTATCAATATTTACTTGTTTAATATCTATTTCCCCACTAGATTCCAAGGATTAGGGTTTTGTTTACTATTAGAACTGGTATATAGAAATTACTTGATAAATATTTGTAGAAAGAATAGGGTAAAAGACTGGACTGGGGGCGGGAGACAGGAAGAGACTGAGGGAGCTGGGGTCCTGGGGTCCTGTTCCCAGTCAGCTTGACTCCCATATTTGTGCTCCATGTCCTTGCTTGGGGCGTAAAGGAGCAGACTTTCAGGAAGGGTGCAGCTTACACAACCAGCTCAGCATCCCAGGGTGTTTATTAAGACCAATCAGCTGACAGTCCACCTATTCATGGCACCAAGACTGTCCTAACAGCTCTGTACCTCAGTCTTGTCTCATCTGTGTCCTGTGACATGGGCGAGTGCCTGGTTGTCTGTGAGAAGATCATGAATTCTGATTCCTGAGGCAACAGCAGGCTGAAATGTAACCCCCTTCCTTGCCCTGTGCCCTCACTCCTTGTTCCCCTAAAGCACCTTTGTTCAGTTGCCCCCACTCTGTCACTTCTCCTGCCCCTGTCCTTTCTTTCATCACACCTCTTTGTCTTTCCTGTGAATAGCTGTTTTGTATCTATAAACCACAGTGCACTTGGCATAACAGGAATTGCCATGTTCAATCCAATTTAATTCAACAGATAGTTACTGAACATCTATTATCAGCCAGGTCAGGGAAAAATATAGGAGCTGTTCTCTGTAAGGAGAGGAGGCAGGAGCAGAAAGCACGGTGATTCTACCAGGGAAACTGCAGTTAACACGAGGTCAGTGGGGTGGGCAGTGCAGAACCCGGCGGACGACAGACACTTCCCAAGAAATTCGGAAGCAGCTCCTCTCTGCCAGGAGAGCTGGTCGGATGGCATCGCCAGTCCAGGGTAATGAAAGCGCTTGGGGAGCACAGCTAACACCTTCTTTTATAGACAAAGGAGGATGAGCTCGAGAAGGAATCAGGTAGGGTAAAGCTATGGATGCATAAACACTGGCACAGCAGATGGGCTAACAAAGACTTGGGCAACCAAGTTCATAGGAGATCAAGATAACGGATGAGCTAACTACACTGCACCTAAGGGTTCACCTGTTCATTTACCCTTGCTCTAATATGTGCATTTGTTTTTTGTTTGTTTGTTTGTGGGTTTTTTTAAATATATCTTTATTGGTTTCATAGAGAGGAAGGGAGAGGGAGAGAGAGAGATAGAAACATCAATGACGAGAGAGTCATTGGTTGAGCCCGCAACCCGGGCATGTGCCCTGACCAGGAATTGAACCCCGATCGCCTGGATCCTAGGTCGATGCTCAACCTCTGAGCCACGCCTGGCCGGGCTGTGCATTTGTTTTTAAGTGCACATTTTTGTCTCCTCCATCCCATGAGACTGCCACAACAGAGTCCAGTGTTTGTGAGGGGTAATCAATGTAATATTGCTCTTTAAGATATTTTTATGGGCATCTTCAAACAGTTACATTGATGGGTCGCTGAAATACCCCAACTCTGGGACCTTTGCTGTCTTAGCAATCACTACCTGTTACCTGATGGCAGTCACGGGTCATAAAGTCACAGTCATCACAGTTGGAAAAGACTCAGATGTAATCTCACTACAGTGTCTTCCAAACAATTGAGGCTCCTCTGCACCATTTTTGACAATGTCATTGAGCTTCAAGTTCACAGTTCACACACCCATTTAATTCTCAGGCAGCTCTAATTATTAAAAAGTTAGATTTTTCTATACGTTTTACTTTGGCCTTTGGTCTCCACCTAAAAGATGTCTGTCTGTCCAGTTCTCTCCAATAGCCCTTCAGAGATAGAATGATCATGGTCTGCTCCTTTCTCTAAGTTATAAAACCCCAATGTCTTCTTTTCTTATAAAATCTTGCCCCACTGAGCAAACTCTGTGTGGACACCCACTGCCCCCCTACTCTCTGAACAGCATGCCCTCCTCTTTGGGAACAGGCTCACCACCGCCACCGAACCATGCGCTTCCAGCAAAGTTGCCCTGTCCTTACATAACCCTGTCTCTTGGGCCAGGGCTGACTTGCCTGGGGGTGGACATATCCCCCAAGCTAGGCCAATCATAGTCTTTCTGGAACTGGAACTAGAAAATGAGAGTGAGTCAGTCTGTAGTTAGGAGCCACTGGATGTGACATTTGGGACATGTTCCCTGCAGGTGGCAGAGGCCAGTCTACAGTCTTCAGTTACATGAGCTACTCGGATACTCTTCTAATAAATTACCTATTTTGCTTAAACTAGTTCAAGTTGCATTTTTTTTGCTTGTAACCATGGAGCCCTGACAAAGGTGGATCTGCTCCAGTGCGTCTCCTTCAGCCCGTGAGTCCGCCACCCCTGAGCCCAGTGTTTGTGAGCAGTGGGGGCATCGCTTGGGTCTGTCCAATGCAGAGGAGATGAGCAGACCTGCTCCCTCCCTGGTTTGGACCCTGTATTCCTAACCCGCAGCTCCCAGTGAACTGCCCAGGACAAAACTGCTCTTTCCCAGATCAAGCCAGCAGCTGCCGAGGGGTGCGGTTACTCACCGGGTCGTTGTACATCTGGACGATGAGCTGTTTGACCCCATACAGGGTAGGGTGGGCCCATGGAGAGGGATCCAGCCAGTGACGGTTCAGGTCAAACCCCATCAGAGAGCACCTAGGCAGGCCCCAAAGTCAGAGTCAGTATAAACAGAACAAGCCAAGCTGTTCATTTATCAAATACACTTAGGAGTAGGAACAGTCACTCACCTGGCATTTATTTTTTTGCCAGAGACATTTTTAAGCATTTCATGTGTTTCAGTTCACTCAGTGCTTTCAATGACCCTATGGAGTCACTACTATTACAATGACTACTTTACACAAGAAGAAACTGAGTCACAGAGAGGTTCAAAAATAATTTGTGTCGGTCTCACGTCAGTGTCCACGCTCTGAGGCCACAGACACATGCCCATCTCCTGGACAGCGCAGCAGAGAGAAATGCTCAGGCCAAAGCCACTGGTGTCCCCCTTCCTCTCTCATACCCAGCTCATCCATCGTCTCTACTTTCAAAAGACAGGGTGTCCCCCCAAAACTGTATATGCACTTTGAATAATTATTAATCCCAATGGGTTAAATCTGAGAAGGAGGAAACATCAGTTGAGCTATCAGCTGTTCGAGTGTGTGTACATTTTTTGTGGGGCAACCTGCAGATTCAGAACCAAGCATCTTTTTTCACCTCCATTGATACCGCCTTGAGTCTCGACCAAGGTCCAGGGTATTGTGCTATAATCTGTATCTGGTTCCCTTGTTTCCTCGCTTGTACCCTCCCACTTCACCTTTAACCCTATCGCACCCCTGTCCCCACTTTCCACACAGCCCCCAGCGTGATCCTCTTAAAACTTAAGTCAGATTGTGTCCCTTCTCTGCTCAAATGGTTCCCTGTTAGATGCAAAACAAAATTGGAAGCTGAAGTCCTTACAAGCAGCTGCAAGCCCCCAAGAGGCCCAGCCTGCTGACCCCTCTGACCTCGCGCCCCCCCCCCTTGCTGCCTGGTGCCAGACACTGCCCCCTCCTGTGCCTGCTCCTCAGACACCCCAGCGTCGTCCGCCTCAGGGCTTTGGAAGGCTGCCCTCCGCTGGAACTCTTCCTCCGGAGAACTGAGTGACTAATCCTCACTTATTTCAGATCTCTGATTGAATGTCACCTCCTCGGTGAAAGCTGCCCTGCCCTCCTTCTCCATACCCTCCCCTGGGCACACGAAAGACCTTCACCAGGGCAAACGCGACCGTGACATCTGGTTCTCCTTCTCGCCCTCCTCGGCCTTTTCTTACTTCAGATCTGCTCAAAGCCCTGCTTGGACCTGGGAGAGGTGCCTGCTCCAGGTCTCTGTCCCCAGGACTCCATCTGCTGGGCCTGCGCACACTGCAGGCACCCCCCGGCCAGTGCAGGCTGAGGTACAACCTCAGACACCCTGTGCTTGCTCCCAATTCAGGCGGTCACTCTCCTCTCCAACCCACCCTCCTCCTGTCCCCAGGATGTCTCCCACCCTGAGCCGCCTTGCTTTCCTGATCAAGATTCGCCTATGGTTCTCCACTGCCTGTGGGATAAAATTCTTCTCTTTGCAGATTTTTAAACACATTTAAAACAGATAATGGCCATCATCTCTCTGTCCAAACTGTCCCCCTTTTCCCTCTCTCTCCCTCTGTTCCACTATTTTACCTCCCCCACCTTATCTTCCAAGCTCCTCTGTTTCCCTAAGAAATACAATTTTATTCCCTCCCAGCTTATTAAATTTGCACCCCACCTATCATCTACTCAGAAAAATAAAGGACTCTAGTGGGGACCCACCTCTCCTTCGAGATGGTTGGGGTGGGGATAATAGGTAAATAAAAGTGATTTCCTCCTATAAAAATCAGCATGGTCAGGGAATAACATGTTTTGTAGGGACCCGTGGGGAAAAGCTTCATGGAGGAGAAGCCATTTGAGCTGGGCCTTGCCGAATGCATAGAAGTTTCCCAGGTTTGGGGGCAGAAGGAACAGTGTAAGCGAGGAAAGGAACCGTGCAGCCCCCTAGGATGTGGGGGGAGTGGTGGGCAATTTGGTTTGACTGAATCAGAGTATGCAGTGAGCGGGTGGGGACGGCGAAGCTGTGAGGGAGACGCGGTGCAGGGCCCTGAGTGCCTGGCCGGGAGTTCTGTTATTTTGTTTTTCCATCACTGTGTTTACACCAGCCAAGTGCTGACGTTGCTCAGTGACTGCAGTGAGAACAGAGCCGGCCCTACGCACAGGTTACAGCAGTGTCAGCACCACCATCAAGGGGACACAACGGAGCACTTGCTGACATTACTTTGCCCCAAGGGTTAAGTACTTTACTAGTACAAAATGCTTTCTCTAAGTGGACCTTCTGAGGCAGGTTCTACTATTATTCCCATTTTGCAGATGTGGAAACTGAAGCACAGAAAGGTTATAAACAACTTGCTTGAGAAAAGGGGGGCATCAGGATTGGTGCACAAATAGTCCAGGAGCGCCGGCCCTCAGTGTAGAGTCCCACAGGGGAAAGAGGGTGTGCTCACGGGCTCGTGTCCTTTTATAATTCAGGACAATGTTGTGAGGATCGAATGACAGAATACATGTAACCAACTTAATTTAGCACACGTTCTGGCCCATTATAGCAGCTCAAAAATGTTACATTGCTATATAAGATGCAGTCACGGCTGAGTCTGTCTTCCCCACTGGACCATGAGTTCCTCAAGGGCAAGGACAGTGCCACATTCAGGCTTGTGTTCCTGTGCCTGACGAAGAACCTGAACTATGGCAGACGTTGAAGACATGGCTGTTGAGTGAACATTTCGCTCTTTCCCAAGCATTTTCCTGTATCATATGATATAGTTCCCACCATCTTGCCACACAGGTGGACTCAGTTAGCAAGTGGGAGTGTCGGGAGCCGGAGACGGTGAGCCAGTCCTTCAAGGTCACCTCACCGCTCTCCACAGGGCCCAGGCTGGAATCCAGGGGTCCTGGCCAGGGCCCCGTGGTCTCTCCACATGGCCATGTTGCTTCCAGGAAGCCTCTTTGATTCAAAAAAGTGAGATTGAAAATGGAGGAAAGAGTGTCCACATGAGAGATCCTGAAAGACCACCTCCCTGCTGCAGCCATCTGATGGGGATAGTGTGGCCCATGATTCAAAGGCAACCTGAATCCTCAAAGGATCCTAGAGCCCTTTAGAAGCTCGAGTGTTTATGAAACTCTTCAGTGAGTAGTATCGATGCTGGGTGCTTTTTGAACTGATTTTTAAAGAGTGCTTCTGATGGCAACCAGTCTATCAGTGGGTATTTACTGAACAAAACATCTTAGTAACAATGTAGGAGCCTGGCAGGGACCCGGGGGACAAGCTCCACCTCTCAGATCTATATCACCTTGGGAGAGCTCCTCCCTTCCCTGGGCTCCATGCTCGTATTTGTAAAACAAGGGAGTCATACTTCACTCACAGGTCTCTCTTCCAGGTCTCTCATATGACTGATTCTCAAACATCCATGACTGGTTTTACCTCTAGGGGTGGAAACACAGAGGAAGCATACCTTTCCAATAAAGTTAAAATACAAAGAAAACAAAGTATTCTAGAAAAAGGATTGACACAACTTTTTTTTTTTAAAAAGAAACTTCCAGTAGTAAAGGGTCACCAGTATCTTAACATTAGTTGCATTCATTTTTCAACACTTGAGATTTGCACGGGACCCGATCCTTGCCTTTTGGAGCTCCTAAGTCTCTCGGAGCTTTGAAAAGGGCATGCGAGGGTGCCCAAAGTCAGGGCACGAGAGGGTGCTCCAGGCAGAGGGTGTGGCATGTGCAGAGCCGGGGAAGTGAGAACGGCTGGAAATAACTCAATATGTTAAGCAGGCTACTAACGCGCTTGTGACCCTGACTAGGCTGTAAGCGCCGAAGAGTAAGGCTGGTGCAGGCTCTCTCTCCAGTAGTTTCAGGACCCCAAACCAGCTTCCCGAGGACGGGGGAATGGGCATGATGGCTTCCAGGTGCCGGCCTCTCACTCCTGCGGCCGCCAGGTTAGTCACCGAGTGGGAAAACCTGGGGCTCTGCGCTGCGTCTCTGCCTCCTTACCGCTCTTCTCTTCTGTTATTTATTTTTAAAGATGAAATATCTGCATGAGCTCAAAATCAGGATCCAAGTTCTGACATGAATGGAGCTGTTGGTGGCACTAATGAGTCAGAATATTTGACATTAGGATCATTTTAGAAAATCCAAATCTATGGAAGTCAAATTTATATATGACCGCATAATATGTAATTTCTTCCTCAAGTCAGAGATACTCTGGAGTATCTTTTCTTTCTCCTTCCAAACTGTGAGCCCAGTGAGGACAGGGTTATGTCTGAGTCACCTTGCCTCCACTCCAATTTATCCACTAGAGACCCAGCTGCAGAGAAGGCTCAACATATCTGTTGAATATGAGGGAATGAGTAGATGCCCAGATGCATAAACAAATGTCCTGAAAGTCTGCAAACAAGGTTTAGGTAATTACTTGAAGAACATATTTGGAAAATTATTTAAGTACCTATTACATGCTGGACACATTTGTAATAACCAAGTGAGGTAGGTATTATTTGTCCTGTTTTATAAAAGAACAAATAAAATGCAAGAGGGATTTGACCTTGAGAAGGTCATTTGACAACTGCTAGGACAGAGAGCTGGGATTTGAGTCCAGGTCTTATTGGTGCCAGGATAGTCTACAGTGATGCTTCGAGGTCCCCCAGCTATCAGAGAGGCTGTGTGATCTATGAAAGGGATACTAAGCTACTCCTTTGCTCTTCTTGTACCACACTGGTCTCTCCTCTGCCCAGTGGCAAAGATACAGTGGCTCCAGAGAACATTATTCAAATGGTAAATAAATAGCTTCATCTCGTGAAGGGCATCGTGCCTCATCCCTGTTGCAATAATGGCAGCTAGAATGAGAGCAATGATTTTAATTCCCCTCTTTATAATTTCCTTTTCATCTCCCGTAAAGGATGGAGAAAAACACAGCATGGTGGCTCCAGATCAATCTTGTTCTGAGCACCGTGGGGCTGTCTACTCCCAGAACGGTGGCATTGACAAGCAGAGATATATGGGGCTCACCTGCAATTGTCCCTTAAACACAGCCGTTTTTCAGCATCACCAATGAGCTGG